TCCATTTAATTGCATTCTTCCATGTCATTTCCATTTCATTTTATCTGCTATTTCCCAATTGCTCTACTACGCCTATCGAGGAAATGTTAAATAAAAGATTTGTGAAGTATTTTACAAAATGTTTTTAAATTAAAACTGAAATATTAAAGATCTATTGCCTTATATAATATTATCTTGCATATTCCAACTGTCAGTTACCATCCTACTCTGCGTGATCAGCTGTTTCTGATGTTAACTTTCGTTTAATGTGCATCTTCAATTCTGTTTTTTTTTTTTCTATTTTGCTTATTATTATTATTTATTTTCGTCTTATTATCTATATGTTTCTTTGTCATATTTATGTATTTTTGCTTTTCTCCCCTTCCTCGCCGTTTAGCCCATGCAGGGTTTTTGCTGAGCCAGAGGAAAGGGCTGTGGAATCATGTCAGAGTTAAAAATCTTTCCAACACCTGAATCCGAACTCATAATCTTCGATTTATAGACGAAAAAAATTATAAATAATGTCTTGAAACTAAAATTCTGTTGCAGAAACCACATGTTTCCAAGATTTTTTTTATTTTAATTTACTTTATTTATTGAATATTACAACATTCTGTCACTTTGAATTTAGTTATAGTGAGGTAAGATCACATTCATAGTATACATAAAAAAATAAAATAAACAGAATCAAAATAGCAAATAAATAATAATCAAAAAGTCCAAGAAATGAAATGTTCTTACAAAATGTAAACTTTTAAAAATATTGAAGAGAAGGATAGTTGGAGTGATCATTCAAATAAAAAATGTCAAAAAATAATAATAATATTTATTTATACAATTGCCCACGTTTCGGCCCGAAGTTCAGGCCTTCGTCAGGGCTGAGAAAAGAACCAAATAGCTTTGAGAAACATAAACAATGTAAGTAGAAAAACTTAAAGTAAAATGAAGTAGATAATTGAACATTAAAGTAAAATAAAGTAGGTAGAATCACAACAATAACAGAGAACTAAGAAATAAATAATAATAACGGCTAAAAAGTGTGGACTAATGAAGTAAACATAATCAAATGAAGTAAACATAATTTATTTTTGCCATTTTTTATTTGACTGATCAATCCAACCTCCTCTTCAATTACTCTCTACAGTCAACCATCAACCCACAATTTTAAAATTATGTTTAAATTTGAAAAAATAAACACATTGTTTAAAACAACTATTTCATTATATTTATGTGAAAGAAGAAGTGAAAAAAAAAAATATTTCATGGATTTATAACACATATATTTATAACCTTAAAAACATTTAATGTAGTTTAATAGATTAATAACTCTAGATTCGACATTATATTTAAATAATTAGGTATCTATCATCGGTTTATTCAGAAAGTCAATCATGTAAAATTTTAGAAAATAAAATTAGTGAATAATTAGAAGAATTTTCACTTTTGTGAAATTACAATATTATATATTTACAAGTAGTGTGACAACGTTTGAGCCATAGATAGTAGGCAATGAAAATCTTGGAACTCCATTTTAGTAAACTTTATAATGGAAAAATATGACTCTAAGAACTAATACTAGTACAATCCATAATCATTTATTGGTTAAATATACAGATTTATTTTCAAATCTCACTAGGAATATATAACTCAGTAACTGGAGTTATGTGGTTTACTAAAACAAATAGAGTTATAACGTTTTTATTGCTAACCCTCAATATAATTAATACAGTATGTGTTATTTTAATGGTATTAATGAGTTCTTAGCTGAAAAGTTTAAAATCAGTTAAAAGTGCCCTTCAAAAATTTTAAAATAACTCAACATAGCAAAAAAAATAATTTCTATTCAAAGTAGAATGGTAAGTGAAAGTTGTGTTGTGCATGCATCAGATTTTTTCATTTGTTTCTCTATTTTTTTATGCTGATCAGCTGTTAGGTTATAATCTTTCTCAACTGTGCTATCTTCCCTTTCTTTCAGTATTCGTTTTGAATTTCTTGGAGTAATGTCTTCTTTACCTACATATTAGAGATACGAGGTATGGAATTGGATTTTTCCAATTTAATGTAGAAATTCATTTTTAAAAAGCTAATAAACATTAAAATTATTACTTTAATTATAATTACAAACTTATAAATAGAAATATAAAATCATCTTTATTCTGGGACTAGGTCCCTTAAGAATAACAATATTGTTCATATAAATTAACAATAAATCTGGCCAAAAAAACTATTACAAAAGGGAATAACTAAAATACAAGTAATAAAATAAGTATATACATAACTAAAATAAGTATATATATATATATATATATATATATATATATATATATATATATATATAGCTCTTAGGATATTTTAACGAAAACTGATGGGTACTAGGGTTACAATATTGGAGCTAAAACAATAACATAATAATCACTAAATGAAATTAGAAAGGTACGCTAAATAAATTTTATAGACAAAGCATTATAGTGATAGTTTTAACTTATGACATATTTTATAAAATAAGACAATTCCGTGCAGTTAGTAATTTTGTTTTATCAAGCTCGAAATAAATTTTAATGGTTTTCCATTTATTTGCCATGGAAATTCCATTTTGTTTTAATAAAAATATTTATTTACATTTAAATAATGGCCAATAATATTATAAGTTGACATTATCAGCTACAACAATACAACAATTAAAAGTCATTATTTTCTCATCAGTCTCCATTACTTTCTATGATTTGATATTACAATATTGAATAGGTAGCGATGTAACTCCCTCTCTCTCCCGATCTCACCGAAAAAAAAAGCCTTTGGAGTTTATATTATGTAATGTATAAAAACTATGAGTGATAATCACAGGCGGATCTACGGGGGGAGGAGGGGGAAACTTTCAGGCTGAAGGCTTAAGGGCAGAAAAATGGTAAAATGTAATCATGTTTTATGGGGAAAAAAAATTATCTATTAATCACAATATTTCTCACTTCTTCTTCAGTGCATACTATTTATTTTCAAGTTAATTTATTATTAGCCATATTTACACCAATTTTTAAAAACATTTTTGTCACTTAATGACTACTCATCACAATGACGACGTTTCGGCTCATCGAGCCATTTTCAAGTCTAAAAAAATTGTCATTTACAATCATATATTAACTTTAACATATTTCAAATTATAAAGATTCTTATTATGTAACTAAAATACCCATCATGTATCTGTCCTTTTCACTTATGCGAATTGCAAGCGTCTACTCATAATAAAATTCCTTATTATTGTCATGTTTACCTTTAATTATTTTGCAACATTATTATTACTCCATTCTTTACTATTAAATGATTCAAATAAGTTAAAATTACCTTGTTTCTGAGTCATCCATCTAATATCTATTCAGTGACTGGTTATTCTTATCGGAGTAGGGAAAGACTATTTATTATAAACATATATAATGCTGTTTCTCAATATTATATGTGGATCTATTTTACGTAATATTAAGCTAATTTATTTCAAATTTTGATTTTTTCAATTGAACTAGCGTAAAACGTATTCATATTATCCACGTCTGTATGATTATTTACTGAGTTTTTTAAGTTTTTAGTTATGTATATTGCTTCCTTAATTCTACGTTTATTCTTATTTCTTTCATTATGTAGGATTTTAACGTTTTTGAAATCAAATTCATGTTTAGTTTGCATATTATGTTGAGAGAGTCCAGTAGCTAATTTAATTTTTGTGTTTTTTGAATTACAATTTTGTTTATGTTGTTTAAGCCTTCTCTCAAACCATTGGGATGTCTGTCCAAAATATGCTTTGTTGTTGCAATTTTTACAATTTATTTTATAAATAATATTCGTTAATTTATCAATAGGTACTTTATCTTTAGTTTTCGAATAATAAATTAATATATGATTGTAAATGAAAATTTTTTTAGACTTAAAAATGGCTCGACGAGCCGAAACGTCGTCATTGTGATGGGTAGTCATTAAGTGACAAAAATTTTTTTAAAAAATTGGTGTAAATATGGCTAATAATAAATTAACTTGAAAATTATCTATTAAATTATTATTGTACGTGTAATTATATTTAATAGGACTTCAAGAATCACTTAAACACCATTTCATATATGTAGTTAGTATCTTTCTTTTTTTTTCCAAAATAATAATCGTTATATACATGAAAATTGTATGTGACTAAACCGCACTCGCTCAAACTCCACTGGCTTTAGCATCAGTGACGCGGTTGAGAGAGTAGCGCAGCAGGGATCTCTTGGAGTCCTGCTTTTTCTTCTATAGTTGGAGGGAGAAGCCTGGCTTAAGTTTTCCTGCCTAATTGTATATATTATATATAGGTATGACTGTGTTTTTATGTTTTTAATTTACTTATCTTTAGGTTATTTTATTTTTTTTTTTTTTTTATTGTACATAGTTTTTGATTATTATTTTACTTTTGTTAATTTTATATTTTCTGTATATATGGTGTGAATGTGTTCATGTATCACTATAATTATTATCCACGTGACAGATTATTATATTTCTCAATAAATAAAAAAAATATATATAGATGAAAAAAAAAATTATTTTATTATTTTTTTATTTTCTTGTAATTCTCTACCTCGCCTTTTAGGCTTTACGGGATTAAGAAAAAAAAAATTGAAGCTCCTCTTCCCAAAAAAAAATTAAATCCTGGATTCACTAGTGGTGATAATTATTGTAAAACAAACTTTCTAGGCCTTAACTTACCCATATATTCTCCTTTTCCTATTTTCTGGATTGATTTTATTTACATATTTTATTCATTCGTGTAGATTAATAATTATTGATTTTGATTTAATTTTAGTTCTTCGGAATATTAGAGGGTCCTATTTATATTTGGTAAGTCTTACTTCCCTCTCTATTTATATTAAGTGAGAGGAGGGGGGCAATCGCTCCTCTTGCCCTCCTCTTCCCCCATCTTTGATTATGTTTACAATAAACCTAAATTTAATTTATATAGAATTAATTTTTCCTAGAAAAAATTTGTATTTACTCTTGCAATTCCTCAGGTCTGGAGGAGGTGGGAGGAGAACCTCCGAACAGCGAGGATCTCCAGCACATCGGCTCCAGGCGTTCGGACAAGATCTCTTCCAGCGACAGAGAGGACCTGCATACCTCCAGCTCCGGCTCCTTCCTGCCCCCACGGAGGAACACGATAGCGGAGTCTGCGACCAAGCCGACGGCGCCAACCTCTAGGCCGACCAACGTGTCCTTCAGGAGCACCATCGAGACCCCCAGTTCGGACCCGGCTCTCGCCAGGACGCAGCCAATGACCAGGGCGCCCCGGCCCACGCCGAGGTAAGTTGTTAGAGAAGTAAAGAGGTCGAGAGTGTTAGGTCGTAGCGACCTCAACAACCTCGATAAATTATTACTGCAAACTTGCGGCGCCAGTTCGAATCCGGTCGGGGCTAATTGAAATTTATGGCGGACAGACGAAGTTATTAACATCCGTCAAAAATTGCATGAATGGTTTTATCTTATCATAAACTACAATTTTTTATCGATCTACCGACCAACACCTTCTCGTATTACATCAGGATCAACCATCTCTACATCATAATAATAATTTTCAATTTTAATTATTTGAAAAGATTATTTTCCCCTCCTGAGTTACTGGGGGCATTTGCCAAGATCCAAGAAGACCTAGATCGAATCAGTGCCTGGGCAAATGTAAATGGATTAAGGTTAAATGCCGCCAAAACTCAGGCCATTGTCATTGCTTCCAAGCCCCTTCTTAGATCCCATCCAGACTTTCCCATCCTTCACCTTAATGACCAGCCAATCTCCTTCTACTCCTCTGTTAAAAATTTAGGATTTTTCATTGATCAAAACCTCCTTTGGAATCACCGTATTTCTCATATCTCTCGACAGACAATTTCCACCCTCAAACTATTCCATCGCTTCCGCCATCTCCTACCTCAACATACGCGTAGACTCCTAGTTTCCTCTCTCATTTTCCCCCACTTTGACTATAGCTGTGTGGTGTATGATGGCCTCTCTGTGGAGCTCCGTGATAGACTGAAAAGACTAATGAACAGCTGCGTAAGATTTGTGATCGGGGCCCCAAGATACTCCCATGTTTTTCACCACTACGCTGAGTTAAAGTGGCTTTTCCCCTCCTTCCGAAGACAATATTTCCTAAGTACGTTCCTCTACCAAATCACCAACAGCCATCGTCCTTCTTACGCCTACAACCTTCTCCAGTTCAAATCCTCAGTCCATTCCCTGTCCACAAGATCTCGACCTTCTAACCTTTACATGCCTTCTCACAGATCTGCCTCATTCCAAAATTCCTTTGTTGTTCGCTCTGTCAATTTCTGGAATTCCCTCCCTATCAAAATTCGACATTCCCCATCCATATCCAAATTCAAAACCCTCCTATTCCAATTCTTATCCCAAGAACAGTCAGATAGTTGCTAACCATTCGAGCTGATTTTAATAGAGAATTTGATACACACAAATTCATTGATTGATTCATTGATACATTTTTAATTTTAATTCTTTATTATTTTCTCAAAAGTGTATACAAGTCTATCAGTGCAAATAGCTTTAAGTGCCTTGTCATAGTATTAATTATTTTGTATATAGTTTCGTATTTTGTATATAGAATGTTTACCTTATATTTTTTTTACATTATTTCTTTTTTTCGATTGATTTTATTTTGGCCAGATGTGATATTTTAATTTTGTTCTATTTTGTTATTCTTAAGGGACTGTGTCCCAGAATAAAATTATTTTTCTATCTATCTATCTAAAAAAAATGGTGTTTGTTTGTTTATTTGGTCTTCAAGGTGAAAAAGCCTAGGCTAGAGTCAGCAACGTCTAATGGTCATTTATTTTTGTTCTCTGCAGTTCAGAAACTCCTTAGAAGAGAGTAAAAAGTAATAAAATTAAAAATTAAAATTGTATGCATTTCGATATTTCTTTCAATAACCTATCAGTTTTAAGAGTTTATTACTTTTTTATGTTTGATTTATTATTGTTTAATATTACTGATACATTCGGTCTGATGTAAGAAATAATTTATTTAAGCTTGAAGTGTAATAAGGGCATTCTTGGAAAATTTCATTGACAATGAGAAGGCTACTGCAGTGTTGGCTGTTTACTGATGAGATATGAATGAATTAAATTATGTATGGCCTATTCTTAACTTAGTCACGGCGACCTCTCTGCCAAAAGAAGGAGTAAAAATTTGAATATATAAAATCTTTTTAAATTTATTTAAAAATACTTTATTCGTAGTATAGTTAGTTTTATTATGATTTATTTACCTCTTCAAAAAGGTACTTTTAGAATCTCCTAATTAATTTAAGCTAAAGCCATTGAACGCTTCAATATTTCCTTCTAGATTCTCCGTGATGAGACTCTTTCAGTTAGGACTACGGTAGCAAGTTAGGTAATGTGTATGTAAAGAGTTAGCGAGTCATAGAAGGAGCAAACAGATTTGGAAACCCCCTCCCTTTCAAATTATTAACATCTGCCAAAAATTGCATGAATGGTTTTATCTTATCATAAACTACAATTTTTTATAGATCTACTATAAAACTACTATAATCTTTTTATGTTTAAAATGTTTATATCGTAACATATAAAGTCAATACTTTTTCTTTACTGACTTTTAATATTTTTTCTTTTCTGGAGGTTTTACTTGTTCTTTCTATATATGTAATGTTTTTGTTTATTTATTTTTCTTTTTCTTTACAATTATAACTGCTGTTGCGAAGATTTTATTTTATTTTTTAGTTATTTACATACTATTATTTAAAATATTGTATGTATTGTTAGAATCTTTATTAAGTTAGTTTTTGGCTAGATGTGTATTTGTTTCTTTTGTAATTTTTCATTATTGTTATTCTAAGGGGGCTTTGTCCCAGAATAAAGTTTATTTTCTATTTCTATATATAAATGGACAAAATAAGTGGGTTCTTTGCTTAGTTCTTATAATTATTGAAATAATTGTCTGTAATTATAATATAGTACTTTTTTTTGTAAGGAAGTAAGATACATATATAATTTTTTTTTTCAGAACGATTATTCGTCCGAGGAGACCATCTTTTAACCTGGAGCCTCCAGAAACAAACGTAGAGGAGACCAATACTCTGGAGCTTCATCTTCAGGACCCAAGGAGGGCTTTTTTCATTCCTGAAAAGAGTTCAGAACTACCTGGGGCAGATCCGATAATAGTGAGCATCAAAGTCCACGGAGACTCGAGCTTCAGGAAGGCCGCTCCTGTTAGCAATCAACTAGCCACTCGCTGTCAGAAATGTCATCCACTGTTCATAATTGACAAGAACAACTGTTCACCGTGCGTACTTGTCAGCTGATCCCGTTCAAGACGGTATCCAGCAATCTCAAAGGCGTTTGTTTTGATCCATTAGTGGATTTCTTCTTTGGAAATTCTTTTATGGAAGATTTATTTTTCTCCCTATAAATATTTTTAATTTATTTAATTGATAATTACAAACGGAGTGAACCTTTGCTACAGTATTACTGAGAATACACACAGAGGATGGAGTTGGTTGAAAATAGTAAACATCCTCATATGTTGTAAATATTACAATTACAATGTGTTTACATTGATTTTTAATTTAATGGCAATATAACTTCAGCCTCAAATAGCTCTCAAAATATTTATAATTTTTGAATTGAGCTAATGCTAACTCTCTTTTGTTTTTTAATGATTCATTTATATTTAAAAGAGCAAAATCTCAAAAAAGAGAACAATTATTTTCAGGATATTATTGCAAGATTTTGATAAACAAGGCTTAAAGTATCTCAAATAAATCAATATAAATGAGCAAAAAAAAAAACAACTGAATTATTGACAGAAAATACATTTTAGGTTATAATTGGCAAAATCTAACCACGCAATCTTGTGTTTCTAAAAAGCAAGTATAGAAAAAAAGTAGTTATTTAGTTATTCAGTGTTCATCTAATTCATGTATCATCATCAAGACAAAATAAAAAACAAGAGTGTAATGATTTTTTTTTTTTTTTTTGTGCTGATGATGACCGAATTGGCGAAACGTTAACAGATTATGTTGTTCTTAACTTACATTTTGGAGACACTAGACTATTATAAAGATTTTTGCAATTCTGGCCTAAAATCTCAAAGGCCAGTAAAAAAATGGCCAGAAGAAGATAAGATCTGATTAATACAGATAACACATTCAACTTAAAGATTAACTGAATTAGTCTTAATTAGAATTATTCAGTATAGTATTATTATACTAACTAAAAGCATAAAATTTTCACATTATTAGGTTGTTTCATATGAAATGTCAGTTTTCATAGCAAAGGGTTGTTTAGTAAATCAACTTTTCAATCCCAGAACTGAAAAATTCAGAATTTTGTGAAGAATTAATGCAGTTTTGACCTGAGAATCATTTTAAAAAATTTTATCTTCAAGGAAATAGTCAAATTTCTGAAAAGATGGAAATCTGTTGGAAATAAGTCTGGCGAATAAGGTGTAAGGACTTTGTAACACGGCTCGTTTAGTTTCTTCACTCTCTGTCGGGCACCATGAGGTCTGGCGTTGTCGTGTAAGAGGATAGGTAACTTCAGATTAGCCAATGTGAATTGTTTTTTTGACAAGTTTCTTATGCATGTCGATATCATTGCAGTATGATGTGAATGCGATGGTTTCATCTATGGGTAAAAAGATGAAATAAATTATTCCTGCCATTGACCACCACACAGTAACCAATAATTTATTAGGATGCATATTTTTTTCAGACCATCGGTGAATGGTCCGTTTGTTAAAACATCCTTTCCCGATTTTCGTGGCAATGTTTTTTGCACCTTGGACTACCAAGTGTTCAAGTTTAAACTCTTAAAAAAATTACTCAAAAATTGTGTGTTTCCATGGTCATATTTCATAGCACACTACATAATGTACAGTCAAGTGAAATTACAGTTAACATTATCAAAAATAAGAGGAATGGCTCATTATAATTTACTAAACGTAAACGTAGTAAACAACACAAGTCCACTATATCACACTTTGAATTTCTGAAATAATAAAAATGCATATTTCATATGGAATGATGCAATAAAAATTTGGAATCCTCCAGAAATTAATATTTGGTTCCTGATTGATTAAAACCTCATTGTTAACAATTTAACTTTGGAAATCATATTAAAAAAAAGCAATTAACACAAGAAGTTGGGATTCGCCTATGTTTAGAGGTGATTGGTGCTTGTTTAAGAAATAGATTTATTTCTGTAATTTTGTAAGCACATTAAAAAATATAAACCACAATTTAATTGTTGGATATTTCACTAATATTGTTTGTATTTGATTTAATTGTTTTTAAAAAAATAACTTTATAAAATATTTACTTTAAAAAATTGTTAGAAGGAAAGCTATACAATAAGGTATTTTGTTAAAGTTAAATATAATAATTTTTATTTATTGTCTAAATGTGGTTCTTTATTTTGGCTCTGTATAAAGTTTTAATTTTTAATAATATTTAAAAAAAAAAGAAACGAAAAGGTTCAACAACAAAAAAGAGATTTTGTATTTAATGTATTTGTAATTATTGGTATTTTTTTTTTAAATTAAAAATGTTTCAATACAGATAGTGCTTCCATGTATTTATTGAGAGTTCATTGTCTAAATATGTTGTGATATTAATGAGATTAGATATTAGAATTTGTTTTTTTTTTATATTGTAAAAATATATATATACATATAGAAATTAATTAGAATTTCTAAAATGATCAAAGTAGTTAAATTATTGTATAAGTTTGTGTGTTTTTAGTTTGTTATTTTAAATAAACATCAAAACTATTTTATGTTATTTCAAATGTAACTAGGAGATAAAATTATGTTGATTATTTTAATATTTGCATTTATTATATTTTTTATTACATGATTTTAAAATAAATTATAATTTTTTTAATGTAAAATTTTAATTATTTAATGAATGTACTGAGCTATAGTTAAATACCCTATTGTTGTTTATTTTTTATTAGAAGAAAATAATATGAGACTTAAATATTCAGGCAACATAATAGTCCACAGTACAGACCCCTTCTTATCAAATTATTAACATCATCCTAAAACTTTATGAATGGTTTCATCTTATCCAAACCTAAAATTCTTTTATCAATGAAAATTCTTTTAAATGGAGCGTTTTCTTATTGAATTAATTATTTTAATTAATTAAAGACTAAAAACTCGTAATAATTCAGTTGTTTTCTACTTGAATCATAAGATAATTTCATCACAAAATAAAAAATAAAAAAATTAGCGTATAAAAATATTGGGCCATTTGGCCTATATAATCCTATTATTTTAACATGTTAGGGGTGGCAGTCACGTCAACTGGCCCAATATTTTTGTAGACCATAATTTTTGATCAAATTATCATATTATTCGAGTGGAAAGCTTATGGATGGTCATTAGTTTTTAGTGCCTAATTAAAAATACAAAGTTTGCCGTTCTCCAGATTGAAAATACTCCAATTCTGGGAATTTTTGTTAGTAAAAAAGGTGTAGGTTTCGAAGCAATTCACGAAGTTTTAGGAGGATGTTAAACATTTGATACAAATGGGTCTGTATTATCGATTATAATGCATTCTTTAGAGATGGATATATATTTGACTGCTGAAATAATAAAGATGAAAAATATTCAGAATATGCAGTCAATAATCGTGTTTATTAAGTTTGCCAATGTTTTAAACCAAACATATGGATCATCACAAGCAAGACAAAAACTGTTTCAAATGTAGAAGGCAGTTCATATCTTGCTATCAAACCATTGACCTGATGACCATAGGTGGAACAATGGGAGGGAGACTTTTGGGCTGAAGACCCTCTCCCAAAAAAATGGTAAAATATAACCATGTATCATAAAAATATATATATATATATATTTAAAAGTAATATTGTTCATGTAATTAAATAGCGATGGAGTGGATTGCTGAAAAAAAGTGGCAGGATCCCAAGAGACCTCCCTAGAGGGCAAGCCGTGGCATGCTTTAGAATGATCACAGGGCATGATTTCAGAATCACCTCCACCACATCGGTATAAATGTCCTGCATTACAAACTATAAGATGTTCCTTTAGTGAAATGGACAGCCCTTATGCTAGGAGAGTAAAATTATATTGGACAGCAAGAGCACGCATGGCTGATCAAGCAGGCGTTACTTAGGCAAAGGAAAAAAAAATAACATTTAATAATACTTCAAGAATCACTTAAACACCATTTCATGTAGATATTTAGTTTCTTTCTTTAATAATTTTTGTTATATTTATAAAAATAAAAAAACTTTTGGGCTGAAGCCACCGCCCTCCAAATTAAATCCTGGATCCGTTAAGGCTGATGACTAATATGTTTGGGTCAACATGTTGGCAAACTTGTACTTGTGACTTAGCCAGTCCCCACGGAACCTAACTTCTTATCACTTGTCTCTGCTTAGTTACTTGGGCGTTATCAATTGTTTTCATTTATTTTTATTTATTTTTGTTATTTTCTATTTGAAACGGATATAATAACACCATAACATATTATATAGGACAACTAAAACAATTGCAGGGCCTGAAAAGTGGTAGAAATAGATAAATATATATTTTTTTAAAACAAAAAATGTTGGGAGAGTTCTCTCTGAACAATGTATATTTAGCAGAATTTGTCCAGAAACAGACGAGTGTTTCATTGTAAAAATAAAAGATTGAAAATCAACAACTCTATTAGAATGTATTAAAAATAATATAGAAGACAGAACCACTATTTATTCTGACTGTTAGAAAGAATACAACTAAATGAAGTAAACTACAACCATTTCCTGGTGAATCACCGGTATAACTTTGTTGATTCTTCAAGTGGGGTCCATACTCAACATATAGAACGATTATGGGACTAATGTAAGTGGAGAAATATAAAACATTGAGGAACTGCGAGGTAACACCAGGATTCATATTTATGTGAATATTTGTAGTGGCAGGTCCACAGAGAAGAAACCCTTTCATCGCTATTTTGTCTCCCAACATAATTAAAATGTTGTATTTCAATTTCCATACATATAAATAAGAAGGTAGGTATTACCAGTATCAAAATTACACTGGGCGGGCAACAATGAGAATGTTATGGGCTCATAAATAGTCAATTCTTATATATTTCCATCTGCTGAATTTAAAAATTACCATAAAAATGAAAGATTAGCTCTTGCTTTGGAGATAAAGTGACATTTAATTTTCTAGAGTCAACATTTTCAATTTGGTGGAATTTTTGGGGGGGAAAATTGGTACATCTGTCAAATAACAAAACACAAATGCTCTTCAGCTGTTTGTAAGTCATAAACATAGTTCCTGCTGCTGTGACTGTGAGTTTCATATAGTTTCTGCTGTAATTAATGAAGAATTTCTGATTTGAGAGTGTTTTTTTAGTGTAAAATTCGCAAAAATGCAACAAAAATGGATAAATATGATGAATAATTTCTGTTATATTTGTGGTGAAATAACATTTTCCTCACAGAAACGCAATCTGACGTCTTTTGTAAAGACTGTCTATCAGCTTTACTTCGTTATGAATAAGGGGACCAGGATAAGTCTTGGGCTCCACAGATATGTTGCAACGCATGTTCAGTTACACTGTGAGAATGGATGAGAAAGAAAAAATGTATGGCTTTCGCTGTGCCTATGGTTTGACAGGAGCCTACATACCATACAGATGGCTGCTATTTCTCCTTGACTCCACCTATAAAGGCAGGATTGTCTATAAAGAAAAGAAGTACAGTTGAGTACCCGAATCTTCGATCTGCTATTCAATCCATTCTGCATTCAGATAGTTTACCAATTTCTACTCCACCCAAAAATTGTGTATTTGAAGTAGAAAGTGAAGAACAAGAAAAAGAACCAAACAAGTCTTCCACATCCCGTGACCCTGATTTTGAGGGAAAAGATGATAAACCGCGCAGACTGAGTTAAGCGGAATTGAGTGATCTCATTAGAAACCTTGGCCTGTCAAAGGAGAAGGCTTAAATTCGTGGGTCTCGACTACAGCAATTTAATCTTCTCAAAAGTAATGTCAGAATCTCACAATACCCAAAACGTCACAGGGAACCGCTTCCCTTTTTTGAGAAGAAAAATAATCTTGGTGTTTGCTGCGACATTAATTGAGTAATGGAATCTTTGAATTTGAACCATGTTCCAACTGAATAGAGGTTATTCAAACTTTAAACTCTAAGCTTTGTTTGAAAGCTGTGTTGTTCCACAATGGCTACCTTCTTTCTTCTACTCCTGTTGGTCATGACAGCACTCTTGGATTCAATCTATGAATACAAATCAAAAACCTGTGGTGGTCTAAAAGTCATTGCCATACTGTTAGGAATGCAACTGGGGTACACTAAATATTGGTTCTTCTTATGTACGTGGGACAGTAGAGATAGGAAATTACATTATATTAAAGGAGACTGGTCTGTAAGAAATCATTACCCTAGCGAGAAAAATGTCATTGCCAAGTCTCTCATGGACCCAAAAGATATTCTACTTCCACCTCTGCATATTAAGCTGAGTTTGATGAAAAATTTTGTCAAAGGTATGAAACAAGAAGGAAGAGCCTTTAAGTATATAAGAGAGAAATTTCTGAAATTAAGTGCTGCAAATGTTAAGGAAGGCAATTTGGTTGGGCCACAAATTCGAGTACTTGTGAAGGATCCTACATTTGACCGAGTTTTGGAAGAGAAAGAAAAGGAAGCTTGTGAAGCCTTCAAGGGAGTTGTTCGTGGATTTTTAGGCAACAAAAGAGATGAATACTTCACGCATTTGGTGACAGTGCTCCTGTTCCAACTCAACAGGAACATTTCTTAGCAGGAAACTCCAGATTTCAAATTTTATTCTTGCAGGAAGGTCCCTAAACACTGCGAGGGAAGCTTTTCAGACATTTTAGGAGTCTGCAACTAATTACTAGTGAAGATGATGAAAATCATATGGCAGTATAGATTTAAAAATGTACAATCCATCATTTACTCAGGATCCCATATTAATCAAAAGAACAGCTTATAAGAAGAAATCCAGAGAAGGATGCTCTAAGAAAACCACACTTATTTTTTTTTTTCAAAACACCTATGAAGCGTTGCATTACACAATATCTCAAAATAAAGTATATCCAAAACAATAATCCAACCTGCACTTATATACCATTCAAAAGGTTGACCTAAAAAGAAACAAAAAAAAAAAAAATGCTTTCTCAAGGCGAAAGAGAAAACTGGCAGTCTATGATTCAACAAGTGGTTCATAATGCTGAATAGTAGTAATAGCAAAATAGTTAAATTTTTCAGTAGGATGTACTAATTTTTGAAAATTTAAAGAAATAAATAGAACTTAAATAAATAGTTTACCTGGACTAAATTGTTTATAATTTTTTTTTAATATTGCATAATGAAATAAATAAATGAAGATAATGCAGCTTGCTCACAAGGAAATAACAGAAAAAATGTTCCCTTTCCACAAATTAATTGACCTGATGAACGGTTGAACTATGATTGAAATATTTATTTCTTTTTGCCTTAAATATAAATTTTATAATTGAACTTTCAAAGTATTTCAAGAGGAATGTTAGTTTCGATTCAGTGTCATGTGAGTTCGCCCTTGGTCTGCAACATTCTTGTGGACAAAATATAATGATTAATTTTATTTCTTCTGTTCATTTATCCTAATTTTGGTGTCTTGAAGTTTTATTTTTTACCATAAATTAGGCCAATTATCACCAACATTTTATGGATATACATTAAATTTGACGTTTCGACCATACTAAGGGTCATTTTCAAGTCTTGATGAGTCCTCCGTTATATATCATTAATGTCGTAATTAATAT